CAAGCAGTTTGATGAAACTTAGACATTATTTATTTATTTTTTCATGTACATACAATATATAATATATTTGCTTTCTTACCTTAAGGATACATATCAGTATCTCTCGTCTTATCATGATAGTGTTCTTTGATCTTCCTTTAACAGCAAGATTTCAGTTTCTTCTAATTTCACCGGGTTTTGTAGTATTTTCTTTTTTTTATAGAAGAAGGGGCAAACGAGCATGCGGCTCACCTGATGCTAAGTGACTACCGCCGCCCATGATCAACCGCAACACCAGGAGAATTGCGGGTGCGTTGCCGGCCCTTTAGAAAGGAGTAAGCTCTTTTCTTGAAGGTCCCCAGGTCGTATCGGTCCGGAAAAATCGCCGGTGGTAAACTATTCCACAGAGAGGTTGTACGTGGAAGAAAACTCCTTGTGAAACGTACAGTGGTGGACCGCCAAGCATCCAGATGGTGTGGATGGTATCGGGACGTTTGACGTGTAGTGCGTTCACGAAATTTGGCGGCTGTGATTAATCCGAACAATTCCTCAGAGCACTCCCCGTGATAGATGCGATAAAATACGCAAAGAGATGCAACATCTTTTCGCAGCGCCAGTGAATCGAGCCGATCGGAAAACACTCGGTCGTCGACGATTCGAGCCGCTCTGCGCTGGATGCGGTCAAGTGGAAGAAGCTGGTACTGGGGAGCCCCAGCCCAGAGATGGGAACATTATTCCATGTGCGGCCGAACCTGCGCCTTGTAAAGTTGCAGGCGGTGTGCCGGCATGAAATACTGTCCCGCTCTGCTGAGCACGCCAAGCTTTTTTAGAGGCCAATTTGGCCTTCCCTTCCAAGTGACCACGAAACTGCACGTCACTCGATATGTCGACGCTGAGGATTCCGATACTGGCTGAGGCAACAAGGGGAGTGCCTTGAAACGGAGGGGATACGACAAAGGGGTTCTTTTTGGCGGTTAACGCGCAAACTTGTGTCTTCTGGGGGTTAAACTGGACTAGATTTAGTCGCCCCCAATCCGAGACTCTGTCCAGCAGAGACTCGACTTCAGACACAAGTTTGTCCCGGCACTCGGAGACGTTTTCCCGAGAAATATTGGCTCGGCCGGTGTAAAGAGCATCACCAGTGCTATCATCTGCATAGCAATGAATGTTACGGGTATGCAACATGTCATTGATATGCAGAAGAAACAGCGTTGGTGATAGCACGCAGCCTTGTGGAACACCAGCATTAATAGGCTTGCAATCGGAGCTTGCACCGTCTACAACGACCTTGATGCTCCGATCTGCAAGAAAGCTGGTGATCCAATCGCACATTTTCTCGGGAAGCCCATAGGAAGGGAGCTTCGAAAGAAGCGCTTTGTGCCAAACCCGATCGAAGGCCTTCGCAATGTCCAAACTAACGGCCAATGCCTCCCCCTTGAACTCTACTGCCTCCGCCCATCTGTGAGTTAGGTAGACCAGAAGATCACCAGCTGACCGACCACGGCGAAAACCGTATTGGCGGTCACTAATCAGCTGGTGATCTTCAAGGTACCTCATGAGCTGGCAGTTTACAATGGACTCTATTGTTTTGGAGAACAAGGAGGTGATGGCGATTGGCTGGTAGTTGGACGAGTCAGAGCGGTCGCCTTTTTTAGGGATCGGGTGGACGTAAGCCGTCTTCCATGATTTTGGGACTACGCACCGGTTTTAACGCGTCTTTTCCGGTACACCTACTCCCTAGGTAAGAGTACCGGAAAAGACGCGTTAAAACCGGTGTCAACTGCTCCAGGCACACGTCCTCAGCACAATTGGGGTATTCCGTCAGGCCCACTCGACTTGTGGATGTCCAGGGAGAGGAGTGCTTTGCAAACCGAGCGCTGTTTGAACTGCACTTCCGGCATGGAGCACTCACACCGCGGGATGGTCGGTGGCGTACATCCTCCGTCATCGAGAGTCGAGTTAGACGCAAAAAAGAGCCTAGATGATCGGCTTTCTCCTTTGCGGTATGGGCCAGTGAGTCGTCCTCCCTGTGCAGAGATGGAAGAGATGGCTGACAGAAATTCCCCTGGACACCTTGACGAGAGACCAGAATGCACGGGTTACAGAAGGAAGGCGAACTAGTTTCTCGCCAATTCTGCCTATGTGCTCTGACTTTGCCTTGGCAATGAGTCTTTTGAAGGACCCAGAGGCGGAATTATACTTCTTTTTTAGAGCGCTGGTGTTTACATCCCGGGACGCTGATGAGTCAGCCCAGGATATTGATAGCACTCCTGCTTATAGCACGATACTATTTTACAGGAGCGACCAAACCATGGCTGAGAGTTGCCTCCAATGGGCACCACAGAGGAAGGAATAAAAAGTTCCATGTCCTGAAGTACCACATCAGCGACAAAATCCACAACAATGTTGGGATCGTCCGGCGAGAAGCAAACCCGCCCCCAAGGGTAGGATGCAAAGAAAAACCGCATCCCATCCCAATCGGCTGACCTATAGTGCCAAACACGGCGGCAGCCTGCAGAATGCAACCGCGATTTCAGCGTGAGTGGCACCACACTCCGGACCAGACAATGGTCCGAGGAGCCTAAAGGGGCGTCGACGGAAATCTGATATCCGTCCGGGTGAGAGGTCAGCAGAAGGTCCTACAGGGAAGGTACATGATCCTCCACATCTGGAATCCGCGTAGGCGAAGTAACCAGTTGCGTCAAACCATATGCCAAGGCAAAATAATGAACAGATCTCCCCGCATGATCGGTTAAACGTGAACCAAGCCATTCGGCGTGATGGGCGTTAAAGTCGCCGAGGATCACGATCTCTGCGGAGGGGATCTGCTGTAGCAACGAATCTGTAGCCATTTGGACGTGGTCGAATAGTCGGTCTGTTTCGGCATTACCGCTATGGGACTTATAGAGGCACCCGTAGACGCGCGGATGGTCGTCGCTGTCTACGCGTAGCCAAAGGATGGATTGATCCGAACCTTCAAGTCTGCCGAGGCGTCGAGAGCAGATGTCCTCTCTGACGTAAACGCAAACTCCAGCCCAAGGCACAAATGAGTGTTCCAGTTTGTACCCCGGGTAGGAGAGATACGAGACATCAGCCGGAGAGGACACCTGCGTCTCGGTCAGAAAGAGCAGAGCCGGCCTCGCCGTCTCGAGTTGGTAGTGGACGGCGTTTAGGTTAGAGTGAAGTCCCCTGATATTGCAGAAATTCACGGACAGCGTGGCAGGGGTCGCCTTAGTCTTGTTGCTCCGTTTGCCCCGAGCAGTTGTAGTCTTGAGCGGAATTTTGCCCCCCCCCCCCCAGAATACGTGGGGCAGCCTGAGCACCCACGCTCAGAAGTGGAGAAAAATGGTCGTGGATGCTCAGCGAGGGATTCTCCTGGGGTGCTGGTACCCTCCTGGGGTAGTCGATCATTATTTAATTCCGCTACCATGTTGATGGGGGAGGGGGATTTGGGCCTCCGGCCACCTGCACCCACCAGACGAAACGCGGAAGCAGAGCTTCCACTTCACGCCGGTATTCTGTGAGGTCGTGGTACCACCCCGGTTTGAGCCGGCCCATACGTGCAACAGCAAAGCTGCCGCGTGGCTCTACCACTGTTAAATGTCTCTTCAGGTCTCACTTCTTTAAAATTTCTTGCATGATGAGATCAGAAAATCATCTCACAAATACTTAAAATCAGTGTTGTGGTTTCGCCAAAACTCATCGTGAGTAATGGTCAAAAATAATTTTGGTTATAAATTATTATATTGTTATGTTCGTCAATGGTCTGTGCTAAAAAAGTCTAATTCTTACTTTTTTCTTTTTCTTGTAAAAAAATTGGTTTATAAGCATTCACTGAAGATTCATTAGATATTGAATATTTGTAGATACACGTAAATAGATGTTGACTATTTATTTTTTCGGTATTTATATCACAGTAGCGGTATAAAATATCTATTATCCTAGGGAGAAGTCCTGGGCTCTGAAAAGCAAAGAACTGAATCTAGAACCGTTCAGCAAGGCGGGAAATCGGTGTCATTTTGTGGTGAAATTATGATTGAAGCTGTAACAGTCTTTGACGCCTCGTCAAAAGGTAAATGTTATAAACAAGCGAGCTCCCGATTTATTATTAAAAAAAAATACGTGTGGCACTCGGTGACTGCCGCGGTAAAGCTATTGCATAGCATTTTTTATCAACTTATGCAATTATAATCATTTATTTATTTTATTTATGCAGTTAAGTCTTTGATATTAAATCAAGTTACACTTTTTGAGCGTGGTGGCTGATAAAACAATTTTTTTTCTCTTATTGAATAAATGAGAATTTAATATTGTTTAAAATATTTTTAATATCTTACAATACATGTAGGTTATTCAGGAATTTTTATCATTGAGTTAGTAGCTAGTGTACACGCATACGTCTAGTCGCACGCACACAAACACCGTGCCGAACTTTGCCGAGTGCCGAAGTCTGCCGAACTGAAACGACGTTAGACGATGCACGGCTTTTAACGCCACACCTTCGTGCCCGTCGGAGTGGGGAGCGTGAGGTTTTTTTTCGTTACGGAATTTCTGGATTCGGTCCCCGCGCTCAAGGCCCGCGATAGAAGCTATGCTAATAGCTTAAAAAGTATATTTATCGTATAATTTTTAAATAATACCCACATCACGTTATAAATAAGTGTCAGTTCCGTGTACCTATGTTGTGAAATCAAACGTAGACGAAGTAAATATAGTGCTTTTACGAACCGAACAGTTTAATTATTGTGCAAAAATCAGCCGGCAGCCATAACAGCTGGTTCGACGGGCAAAGCACAACAGCAGGTAATAAACAGTGCTACGCGCAGTGCGAAGTGATTATATTTGCTTGCGCGCATTGACTGCATCGATCTCACGTCATCGCGCAGGCGCAGTGTTACTGTCATAGACTATTAATTGCATAGGCGCATGTACACGAGCAATCACTGTAAGTTTTTGCCTATTGTGAAGTCTTAGTATTAATATTAATTTTGCATAACAATGTACTCGACAAGGAATCAACGATGTTATGCATCCATTGTGGTGGAGCGTTTCATTACAGTTGTGTGGACCCTGCAAACAGCTATGATTTTTCAACTATCGATACAAACAACTGGACCTGTCCCACTTGTACAGCCAAAAAGCCAAAGGCGATTAAAGACGACAATACTCCCATACGTTGGGGCGCATCACAAGCATCGGCAAATAGTACCGTTACCCAACGTCACAAAAAGAAAAAGACGTTGTCGGAACCTTCATCAAAGGTTCAAACCAGTGATACAGTTAGTCAAATCACAGTTTCTTCGCTTGAATTGCGTGAGATAATTAGGCAGGAAATTAGACAGAAAATTATAGAATTACAGAAAGGTTTGGAAGCCAGCTTTAAGAACCTATTATATACAAAATTTGAGAAAATAGAAGATGAAGTGGAGGAAGTCAAGAAATCAGTCTCATTTATAAACAACAAATATGAAGAAATTAAGACACAGTTGGTCAACCAAGAAAAATCTTTAAAATCCATGGATTTCATATCGGCTGATATGGCCCAATTGAAGACTTCATTAAATAAGCTGGAGATTGAGAATAATACAAGAGATCAGTGGGCCAGACGTTCAAATATTGAAATCTGTGGTGTTCCTGAAAAGAAAAATGAGAACTTGATTTCAATCATTGAAAACTTTGCGAAAAAGGCTGATATACCATTCAACGCCTCCACTGATATGGATTTCGTAACCCGTGTTGCATCCTTATCAAAAGATAATGAAATGCCCAAACGTATAATTGTGCGTTTCATGTCTCGGTACTATAAGGATGAGTTTCTGAGTAAGGTACGTCAGCTTAAAAACTTGAAAGCTAGCGACATCGGGTTCTCAGGCAACAACTCTTATGTCTTCTTCAACGTTCATTTAACTACATCTAATAAACTACTGCTTCAAAAGGCATTAGCTAAAGCTAAAGATAGCAATTACAAATTCGTGTGGGTAAAAAACTGTACTATTATGGTGCGTCAAGTTGAAAGTAGTCCTGTGCTACATATTAACTCCACGAATGGTTTATTCAAAATAAAATAGGAACTATTATTTATTCACATAATAATAAAAAATACAAAGTTTTGCATATTATTATCCTTGTTTGGGTTGGAGTGAACGTTCATTGTTACTTTTTTGCTTTCGTTCGTGCGCATTGGTAGGCTTTGTTGTTCCTTACAGTGGTGTAGTTTTTGATTCCTTTTGTAACCCTAACAATTTAAAGCTATGATATGATGACAGTATACGGCTTTATTATATCACTATTGGAGCTATGTATCTGAGTTATTATATTATAGTGATTTAAGATAGATAATAAATTGCGAATTTATTACCAAAACGTCAGAGGGTTGCGTACAAAAACTAGCATGTTTAAGAGTATTGTTTCATGAATATGACGTTATTTGTATTACAGAAACATGGCTACTAACGAGTGTTTTTGATTTGGAATTGTTTGACTCTCAATATAGTGTTTACAGGTGCGATAGAGACTATGCTTCCAGGGGCGATAGGATGGGGGGTGGGGTTTTAATAGCTGTACATCGAAAATTTAATGTATGTAATTGTATGATTGTTCCTGTTGTAAATTCGGCGGCCGAAATTATATCGGTCTCCTTATCGAGCCTCAAAAAATATTTATAACTTGTACTCGTGCTATTTTCCATATTGTAATGCTCAAAAAGAGGTTTTAATTAATTTTTATGAATACATAACTAACAAGGCTCTCGAATATCAGGGCGAATATTATATTATTTTTGGTGACTTTAATATCCCTTGCTGAGTGGTTGCCCATTAAAAATGTTTCATTTTCCACCCTTTCTGGTAATTTTAATGTCGACTACGTAAATGATTTATCTAATTTTATATCCATTAACGACTTTAAACAATTTAATTTAATTTACAATGGTAATAAGCGAGTGCTTGATTTAGTTATTGCAAACGTGGATTGTAGTGTATCAGCTTCTGAGCCTCTTGTATCAGAAGATAAACATCACCCAGCTTTTTATTGTGAAGTCTCGATTTGTAAGCAGAGGTTACTTAGCCAAAACACCAAGTCCATTAAGTTGTTTAAATCAGCCAATTATGATGATGTAAATCGTGCTCTCTCTAACATAGATTGGGATGAATGTTTCACTTCGAATGATATTAACGATAATATTCAAACTTTTTACAACATAATTAATGATATTATAATAAAGTTTATTCCAGTCAAAGTTATTCAAACCAAAAATAAATTCCCAATATGGTTTAATCGAGCACTAATAAAAACAATCAACGAAAAAGTAAAATATCATCGGAAGTGGAAAATATATGGCCATGTAACTAGTTATAATACAATTAGACTACTCAGAGAAAAGCAAAATGTGTTGCAAAAGGAATGTTTTAATACTTTTATATCTGATGCTGAATCTAAGATTTCTCACAATAGTAAACACTTTTGGGCATATGTTAAATCAAAAAGGAAAAATATAAACGATTTGTTTAATCAGTATTTTAACTCGGTATTTGAATCCCATAGTCAATCCCATCATGAAATAACCTGATAAATCTCAACCATATTTTTATAGATAAAGCCAAAATTGAATCGTACCTCAAAAATATTAATATTAATAAAGGCGCTGGTCCTGACGGGATTCCCCCAATTTTATTGAAGCACTGCTACAAGCAATTATCTGAGCCGCTGTTTAGATTGTTTAATCTTTCATTGAAAACGGGAGAGATGCCTGGAAACAGTTCTTTGTGACACCTGTGTTTAAGTCCGGTAGTAAACGGGATATAGGAAATTGTCGTCCGATATCCAAACTTAATACTATCCAGGACAATCCTTCCTACAACAATAAAAGTTACGTACGTACGTACGAAAAACAGAACTTGCATCACTCATCCTGAGACATTTTTAAGAATAGGCCTTGCTAAAAATACCTTGAAAAAAAGTTTTTGACAAATCATGGTATTGCAACGCAAAACGGGCACAAGTTTAAAGTCCAAAAGAAAGTTGTATTTTGCTTTATTTAATTTGAAGTAGAATAGATTGAAGAAGTTACTTATTTATTAACTTCTCATTGGTGTTTCTACAAATCTTCCTTTTTTTGCTTACATTCATCTGAAAGATAAAAAGAACAAAATAAGTTCGTTCCATAGGGAAGTAACAAACGGTTTTTTCATTAAGACTCTAATATGAGCTTTCTTGTACGAAAGGCGCGTTCCACTATTTATATCAATTGAAGATTAAAGAACGCTGGAAAAGGAAGTAGTTAGGATAAAGAAATATCGTTTTTTGCGGAAACGATAAGGCTATTATTTTAAATTAATATTTAAATTGTTTTATCTAAATGTATTCCACGCCGGTATTTTGTGTGAGCGTGGTCTATGTAAATATAGCTTAGGGACCTTCAATAAAAGAGCCTACTCTTCAATAAAATGCCCGCCATGAACAACTGCAGCACCCTGGTGTTGTAGTTATTCGTGAGCGGCTGTAGTCACTTACAATCAGGTGTCCTGCATGTTCGTTTGACCCTCTCATATAAAAAAACCATAGCTATCAGAAAGTGGTAGTTTACCAAATGGAGACGTCGTTTATCAATATTTTGTTCTCTTGATGACAACTGGTCCCCATGATACCTATTTTATTCTCACACACGATGATAAGGATTTTTCTAAATATCTATTTCATTTATTACTAGAGCTGTAAAAGCCCCTTAATACCCAGCACTTTAAACCCTAATTTAGCGATGGCCGTAAATACAGTACGCGAAGAACTCTGATACGAATCCCGTTGTTACCAAAGATATTAATAATTGCGGTTTTAAGAGTTGATATACCACCTATTCGGTGGTAAAAGCAACAACGTGAGAAAACCTGCATGTCTTAGAAAAATAAATATTTCAAATATACGTGAAGTCCGCTAACACTCACTTGAACAGCGCCGCAAACCTATTGCTTCATAACCCTCTCAGAAACAAAAAGCATGTGCTACATACATAGGCAGGCCGGCTGTGAAACATGTATATAGGCAGAAATTCCTAACACTTATTACGATTTAAATTTATAATTTTTACGCACAACTGAAGTGTTTACAAAAAATAAATGCGGAAGACACATAAATGATGCTACTGGTTAGGTTTTGTTTTGTTTTACGTGGGAGAGCCAGGCTGCAGCATTACTACAGCTTCAACCTTACGTCATGTTTCTTGTTTTTCATATTTATGTATATATTGTACATTTTTTCTCAGCCTAAAGACAGAAGGGTATTATAGATGCAGCATGAATGAATCCGCCCATCCGTGGTACGAAAGGGGTCTTGCAAAATTATCAAAATCATCATCATCCTTACAGCCTTTTAAAAGTCTACTGCTGAAGATAGACCTAATGTCATAAAACACGGCCCTGAGCCACCTTCATCCATCGACTTCCTGCATGTCTTACCAGCTAATAACTACTACATATATAGTGGGGACGCCCCAGATTTCACTTACCGGTGAGAAGCTGCCAATTGAGAATCTTTCTTCCCCATTGGTTAACGGTTATTCGAGCTATGCTATGTATGTAGCTGCTCCGTCACCACTTCAGGTTAATTATCTACTGGGCTATATTCGTTACTCTGGTTTTACTACAGATATCCTCATTCTTAAGTTTATCACGTAGATAAACGTCGGACATCTGTAAGTCCTATGCATAGCTCGCTGTGTGATCTTGAACTTTGTCATACGGCCAGCGGGGAAAGGCCATGTTTTCCAAAGTAAAGCTAGAGCCTATATATGTCCCACTGCTGGGCACAGGCCTCCCCTTATTTCTGAGAGGGTTTTAGGGCAAGGAAGTGTCCGCCAAGCTGCCCCAATGCGTGTTGAGTTCGCCAACATTTTTTCAAGCGTTCACATGTCTTCGAAATATTTTTTCTCATTCCTAAGACATGCGGGTTCCTCACGATGTTTTCCTTCACCGCCGAGCACGTGGTAAATCAGCACTCAACTAGCACTCATAATTGCAATTAACAATTTCCTTGGTTCCATCGGGGATCAAACCCGGGTTCTTTTATATTTACAGCGAGCGTTAACTCTCTGAGCTACCACGGTTCATCTAGCCTTTTGTTTATCTCCTTATAATATTATGTCTTATTTTTGTTAAAGAATGCCGAATGTTATTGCTTTGAGTGCAGAAATATATTTTTTTACAATATTTTAATTTCTTTAAACGTACCAATTAAAAAAATTCCTCAGCTTCCATACACAGACTTTAAAATACTACTACTGTGTGTTCCATAGCTGCCGCGCTTTACAGTTGTGTTGGCAACCGCAGTTTTTTTATAATTTTGAGTGGTTTTCAGGGAGACATTGCTGCTCGATGTCCATGTCATGATATGGCGTATTAAATATTCTTACACCGCCACTATACTGTCATATGTTACTGTAACCGTTTTTATTGGGTAATAGACGAGCACATAATCCACATTATGTTTAGTGAATGACATGGACATAAAAAATTATACATTAATATGAAACAAATTAATGATATTTTCGCAATGCTATATATTGGTCACTTTTTATATAGTACCAATAATCATATTTAAATTTTATTTTGATAACTATAAAGCTGATTCACCTATTTTAAAATTTATGTTTGATACTCTACCTCTCTTCTTGAGTGTACTGCTACCAAAAATAAAATATAATGTATGTGGCTAAAAGGCATTCGCTAAGTTCCTGAACTGAATATAAATAACTGAACAAGAATATCGAATGCTCTTTTTAGCTTGTTCACTTTAATGTTGTGTTTCACGTACGTGTTGAGTGATCCAATATAAGTGCAGTTTAAAGTAGATATATTTGAAGTCATTTTTATTATTATTATTGTACTAATATTCGGATAAAATATAATCTAGATCAAAAAATAAAATATGACCTAGATAGATAAAATATAACGTAGATCACTTCTTGTATTGCTTTCTGTGTTCTGACAATTTTTATAAAAATGTTTATTTAGGACCTAATTGCAGTGCATGCCGCAAATAACCCCCAGCTCAATATAATATGTAAGGCTGCTATTTAAATATTACAGAGCAGACGAACACTTTCATTTTATTTATACAAAAAAAGGGCTACGCTTGCAGGTTCTCTGTGTAGTAGAGTACGTAATTAATATAGCCCTAGTAAAACAGTTTTTGAGTGGCAGTGTGGTAATGGTGAGCGAAGTGTGGTTCGTCGACTCAATAGATGGAGTGACGATCTGGTCAAGTATGGAGTAAATTGATGGATACAGGTGACTAAGAATAATTTATTCTTTGGGAAAGACATAGTTAATAATAATAATTATGATGAATAATAGTGGTGGCTGATTCAAATGGTGATGAAACATTTGCCCAGGAACTAGAAATGGAGCAAATGAGGAGTAAATTGGAAGAGGCGTTGCTGGAAACGGTGCAAAATCGACCGCGACTTCCCCCGCAAGGCCCTAAGCAAGCGGAATCGGGGTCTTGTTGGTCCTGTTGTGAGGGCTCTGAACCCAATGCTGGTGACCTATTTGGAAGCCAGTCGGGACCTTTGCGAGACGGACTCAATTATTTTTGGCGCCGCACTGGCAGTCTGGCGTATTATATGCGGTTTCCACGGCTGGACGCGCTACCGGCCAAAGTAGCGCTATCCCAGCATGGATAATAAGAATTGAGAAGCGTATCTCAAAGGCTAGAGCTCTCACCTGCTCACTGATGTGCTTCATACCAGGTAATAATATGCCAAAAATTGTGCGCACCATCAGGATGGCGTTTGCTGGGACAAATGTCAGTTTGTCCCAGCCGGATATAACGCAAAAACTGACGGCGCGCATAGATGATCTGAAGCAGAGAATCGCTGCTTGGGGAAAGCCGATTCGGCGATATACCGAGAGTCGACTTGGTTCAACCAAAATCGTCTCTTTCAGAGTGATCAGAAGAGGTTCTATGAATCATTGGAGCGTCCAATGGTAAGTAGAACGGGCCCAGCACCGAATCAGGCCGACACTGTAACATTCTGGCGCGGCCTGTGGTCAGAGCCCGTAAACCACAGCGAGGGCCCTTGGACGGAATTTGTGGCGAGTCAGCGTGCGAGTATAACGCCCATTGATCCCGTCATTAGAACGCCGGATGACGTAGCTGAGATGGTCCGTATGGCCCCGAACTGGAAAAGTCCGGGACACAACGGGCTGAATCACTACTGGCTGAAGGGGTTTGTGGTGTGTCACATTGTGCTCACCCGAGGGTTTCAAGAGGCTCTCAACCAGAAGTCGCTCCAAAGCCTCTTCACTACTGGGAAATACAGCCCCATCACGTGTCTACCGACCATGTACAAGACACTAACATCCATTTTGAGCGCGAGAATCACTCGTCACCTGGACTCAATCAGGTGATATCGCGCGCTCAAAATGGATGTCAGGGCGGTGGTCGTGGAACCAAGGAACCACTTCTCATTGACGCGGTCATTGGCAAAGTGGTGAAATGCAACCCTCGAAACTTCTCCGCTGCTTGGATAGACTACAGGAAGGCATTCTACTCGGTGCCCCATATATGGCTAATGAGGGTCCTTGAGCTGTACAAGATTGACTGTATAGTTAAAGACTCCCTGGAGCAGTGTATGGGGCAGTGGAAGCCCTCAGCAGGGGAGACCAAACGTTATTATTATTATTATTTCGGACTACATAAACTTTAAAATCAAACTAATAACACTAATGAAAAAATAACTTGCCAAGTTATTGATAATTATCCTGACATAATTTTTGTTAAGAAATCATTGAAATTTTTTTACGCCAATGCCCGTAGTATCGTAAAGCCATGTAAATTTGATGAGATGACCATACCCATTATTGTGCTCACGGAAACCTGGATTAAAGCCGATGATGAAGCCAAAAGGTTAGAAATACCATGTTATACACACTATTTCAATTATTAATAGGCTTGTTATCGGAGCGTTTATATGTTTATTTTTTATATCTTTTAATATATTATCATATACTACAAGATGTTAAAATAGAATATAACTCAAATTTTAACTGGAAAAAAAAAGCTTGTAATTGACCTAACAAAATCAAAGTAACCTTTTCATGACAACAAAGCTATACAACCGAATGCCATTCTTAATTTAACTCCACTATATCCAAATTAAAAAAACTTACACTTAACCTTCCAGCTTTAAAATTAATAGCTTTACAGTGAAAATTTTGTAATTAAAAGAATATTAAATTTACTTTGCATCGCTTGAACAAAGTCGAAATAATGGAGTCTGGAGCGCTATCTAAAGCGCTTTAGTGCCTCGGATAAGTTTAAAGAAAATTCCCAAATAACTCTGTAGCTCTCTTATAGTAATTTTGTATAGTGAATAACCTTTAATTATGAGGATTTAAAAGTTGAACATTGCTAATATGGAATTGATATTTTTCCGGCAATTCCTATAGCCACCTTTTACGACACCTACGGAACGATACGGGCTTATGAATTATCTTACGCTATTATTACACGGCATTGCACAGAACACCGAACAAACTAATGACTGGAAATAACAGCTATGGAAATTTATTTTTGTAAGTGACGAGAACCGGAGGCGCATTTTACTGGTAAGGAGGTTTTCTATCTTAGTCCCAAGAAGTGACAGCATACTGATTCTTGATCAAGAGTAGATGTAGGTGTCTATAGACCTCAACATCCGCTCATTTCAATTAAAAAAAAAATTAAGTTAACAAAATTGGTGATGTTATTATATGATGATGTTAAGCTATTGTTACTTCAAAAATACTTTACACAAAATAATTTAATGTTAAACGAAAATGTAGGAAGAACGTCATTCACTGAATCTACTTTAGAGTAGTAAAAAAATTATGTATGTTTTAGGCATCACGTAAAACAAAATCACAAATGGAAGTGTTAGCTATATTCAACGCACAATTATCATTTTACCTAACAAAATGAATTTTAGTAATTTGGCTGTACTCCAAAGCGTATACGTAATATATTATAAATTAAATCAATATAACGTTGTTCGGGATTTTAACATAAATAATAATAAATAAATAAAAAATCATTTATTCCTAGAAATAGAGCTACAGACCTAAACATTGGGAAAAAGTAGTGAGTTATATTAAATTAATTTTAACTTATATTATAGTAAATTAAATACTTATTACATATAAATTCTTATTACATACGAGTATAAATAAGTTACAGGCGGGCCCCAAACTAGGCATAGCCTGTATCTTGGGGACCAGGAGTACGGTTATCAGTTTTACTTACGTAATTAAAAGTACTCATATTATACAGAACAACAAATTATTACTTAATTTAGGAAGATAGTTTTTAACTATTTGTATTTGTTGAAAAATATGAATAGAATATTTTAGTGTAAATTGTAGATATAATCTGGTATTATTTTTGCTTTAATATTAAGTTTTCGGTATCATTATAATTTAGTGTGGTGAGATATATTTTTAATATTTGTTTAGCTTTCAAAGTTTTTGATGTCACAGACTTTAAGTATTTTGTTATAAATATTCCCTAAGAATGTGCCAATTTTTCAAATGCAAATAAATGCCTTAACCAACAATTAGCAGTAGCAGTATTACGAATGAATTGCATCTATGTACCTCTGGTGTGAATCGTAGTTTGCTTCGGTTTAGCTGTTTTGTGTAAAAGTATCAGTATTAAGATCTTATATCTATTAATTCCATTACAGCATATAAAAGTGTATACTTAGACATACGCGATGTACAAAAGTGAAATTGTGTGGCTGGAATTAGTCGGAACAGTTCCTCAGAGCACTTCTCGTGGTAAATTCGATAAAATACGCAAGATATGCAACATCTCTTTGCCGTGCCAGTGATTCAAGCCCATCAGAAAGAGCTCGGTCGCCAAATATTCGAATGGCTCTGCGCTAGATGCGATCAAATGGAAGGAGCTAGCACTAAGGAACCCCAGCCTAGAGATGGGAACAGTATTCTATGTTGAAGCTAAACCTGCGCCTTGTTAAATTTTAGGTGGTGTGCCGGCATGAATTACTGTGCCACTGCTTTTTAGAGGCCAATTTGGTCTTCTCTACCAAGTGACCACGAATCTGCACGTCACTCGATATGGCGACGCTAAGGATTACATTCGTAAGGAGAACAGCGAATGTTATTAGAGAGTGATCAATTTGTTTATTCAAGATTAAATAAATACACGTCATCTTATAGTAGTGTAATATGATGATTCCTTAGTCCCTAATTTCTCTAGCCAACACTTGGTTCCCATACACTGGATAAGAGACTGCCCTAAATAAGCAAGCTCCATCACCAATTATCGGTACTGTCGTATGCGTCATTCATCATATTTCCATTAAAACAAAAATATTTACAATAAAAACTACAATCCAACGCTTCCTTAAATTAAGTACCTAATTAATTACACTAACAAAATGAATGAATTTAGGTATCTATACTATATCTCATTCTACATCAGTCCCTTGACCTTGACCTTTATGTGATAGGTGTGATCTAGGCCAAAATCTATAGCACATATATATATATATATATATATATATATATATATATATATATATATATAATAGAATATAAATATATTACAAACAAAAAATATAATTCAATATGTTATATTTTTAATGTTACATATATGAATACCTACATATCACGAATTAATAATTATGGTGTGAATGATAGTGCTCTTTTACAAGTCTTTTAAATATAGACACCGACTTAGCGTAACGAATCCTAAAGGGAAGTGAATTCCACAATTGTACTGCGTTAATAGTAAAAGAACATAAATCTTAAAAGTGTTCTAGTATTTGATATACATGGAACATCTGGAGGATTAACAAAAGTAAAACGATTTTTTAGATATAGCGGAGTATCAGGATTATGTATAATATTGAAAAGAAGACAGAGGATTTGAATGTTCCGGCGAAGGCGATTGAGAAGCCATTTAAGCTGCTTGCGATATACAGAGACGTGATCGAACTTCTTTAAGCCAAAAATGTATCGAATACATAAATTTTGCAAGCGCTTGAGTTTATTAATTTGCTCCTCGATAGCATCCAAATAGCAGACATCAGCGTAATCTAAAATTGGCAAGATAAAGAGTCTGGACTATAGATATCTTTGTAGGCAAAGGTAGAAAACTTTGAAGGCGTTTTAGAGAATGAAAGGCGTGAAATATTTTCCTGCTTACATCGGTAACATGTGCGCTCCAAGTCAAATTGCAGTCTATTTTGTTTTCTATCTAAAAATTCTCAGTAGCAGCCCGGGATAAGGATTTTAGCGATGTTTCATCCATGGGCCCCAGAAATCACGTAACATCATTGGTTCTGCATCCGATCTCTCTATATTTGGGTCGGGTTACCTTCCCATAGGACTATGAGGGTGAGGGTATCCACCTGTCCTTGGTCACGCACTCGTGATTCATATTCCTGTTCTGCGTCTTGTCATGTACGTATTATAAAACAGTTACTCTTTACCGAAAGGTTTGTAAATAATACCTCAATGTCGTGCATAAGTAGATAGTCTCCGTTGAGACAGGTCGCCATTAACTGAAGTTCGATAGAACATTATAATTATATAAATAAGTATAAAGAACATTATTGCTGGATATAATATTGTAATATAATGAAAATAAAAAAATAAAAGTACATATTCAGCGCTCAAA